CAATGATTACATCCAGCGGTATTAGGAATAAAGGACATTTCTATTGTTTAGTTTAACTGTTGGTAGTTTGCCATGTTTGTGCCTTACTATTTGCAACTTGTAAGACATGTGCTATTTAGCCAATTTATGTTCACGTTCGGAAAAAATAAATAGGGTTAGGGGGTTAGGCATGTATCAAGTCCTACTGACACTGCTGGGCATACTCTGGACTTGGTCTTCACCTATGGTGTTTCCCTGACCACTTGAACTTAAATGACATTGTTTTTAGCGATCATAAGTCAGTTTCTTTTAATCTGTCAACTCAGAGTCTCCTTCCCAAGGTTTTATTAGGCGCACTCAATGACTTAATTACAGTAATAGGTAAAATAATATTCTCATTGTGTTCTTTAGATATATTGCCTCCCTCTGTCCTGTCTGGTACTCTCACCATCATTGTTCCCACATATCCATCATCAACAGTTCACTCAGGCAAGGTTGTGTTCCATCCTATTTAAAACATGCTGAGGTAATTCCACTTTTAAAAACACAGAATCTAGATGCTAGCTCTGCTAGTAATTATCGGCCTATTTCAAAATTCACATAAGTAAACTACTGGAAGAAATTGTAGAAAATCAGTTCAGGACGTTACTATGCAGATTACAGATTTTTGACCCTTTCCAGTCAGTCCACTGAGACCGCTCTCTTAAGGGTCTATAATGATTTGTTAATGGCTTCTGATGCAGGAAATTTTTCTGTGATCATTTTGCTTGATCTTAGAGCAGCCTTCAATATCATTGACCACAAAATGAACAGGCTGAAGGTTTTGGCTGGTATATCTGGACCTGCCTTAGACTGGTTTTCCTCCTACTTATCAGATAGGACCTTTTCTAAGACTGACAGGTTTACCTTTAACATTGCCCCCCTAACCTGCGGAGTTCCACAGGGTTCAGTTCTGGGTCTGTTATTATTTTCTTTTTACATGCTCCCTTTAGCTGGCATTATTCAATCATTTAGTGACATTTCTTATCATTTCTATGCTGATGACATTCGGCTGCATATGTCCTTTAAACCTCATCAGCTGGATAGGCTGTGCACCCTAGTCCAGTGCTTAACTCAGGTTTCTGGTTGGCTTTCTAGAAACTACCTTGTATTAAACATGGAGAAGACAGAGACCATGATCATAGCTCTTCCTGAACTACATTCTAAAATCAGTCAGGTTGTTGCCCCTTTCTGTTCTTCTCCCAAGTCAAATATTCGAAATCT